AACTCACATAGTTGAAGCACCACAATCTGATAATAATAATAATAATAATAATAATAATAATAATAATAATTAATTTTAAAAAGTACTTTAAAAATCTTAGAAAATTTTGTAAAAGTATTTTTGTTCTACTTGTCGAAATTAAAATTGTTTTGATGATATAAAAAATAATAATTTTAATATATTATCTTTCTCTGAATTTTATGTAATAAATTAATTGAAAATTTTTTATGTTTAAAAACATAGCTTGAATGGCTTAATTATCATTTTAAAAAAGATGTGAATAACAGCGTTGATGACGTAATCCCGTAAAGTTCCCGTCGCTGTTCCCTACTGAACCAAAGTCACGCAACCTTCGTGATAATAAGACGCAACCAATTCTAAGGAATCGTCCAAAGCTCTTTCCGGCATTTATTTGAGCGGCCTGCGTGTCCTCAAACCTGACATGAAAAACACGTGGCATACTACCATTGGTCACTGTCAGTTTCTTCTGAACTTTAAACTGCTTACAATTCCCATTTCAAATCCGCCACTACCGTCAAAAGGCAAACCAAAACCGCAATGCAATCCCGTTTCAAATCCGTAAACGTTGTTGGTCCAACTCCAACTAGATGACGTGGCATATGATGATTTCGCAAGATATTTTAAATAAGTAACATAATAAATAATAAAATCTATAATGATATTTTTATTTTAATAATTAAAATAGTTAATTTAAAATAATAAATTAAAAATTAATAAGAATTAGAATAATAATTTCAGTTGGGACTCGAAAAGGAGAGAGGGACTTGGTCTGTGGGTTAGGGGTCAAGACTCAAGAGAAGAGGGATCAAGGGATTGTCCAATGTGCTAAGGAGGGGGGAGGCAGAGCAGTGAGGTTGGACCCACTTTTCGGTGATTAGTGTAATCCAAGCAGGAGACATATGGAGGGCCCCACTCCTCAGCACAGGAGAACAGCAGAGCAGAGCAGAGCAGAGCAGGGCAGGGCAGAGAGTTGCTCATCACTGATCACCATCTCTTGATCCTCTCTCCCTTCCCCTGCAAATTTTTTACACATTAACTAATTACACGCGCCATTGGTCAGTCAAAGGCTGACTTTTTAAATTTTTATTTATTGTCTTATGGTTTCACGAAATTTTTATATTTTTTTACGTTTATATGTTAATTTAATAATTTAAAATATAATATAAATATGATATAAAAAATAATTATTATTAAAATTTAAATTTTAATAATAATTATATATAAATTTAATAAAATATTTTTTATATTTAAATATCAATATAAATTATAATATATAATTTTTATATAAAATATGATATAAATATATATATTTTAATATATTATATGATATAAACATATAAATCAATATATCTACTCCCTGGCAGATACACATTCCTTTACCGACGCTGATGTTTCACCTTCTTCCACTTCTAATGGTCCTTGAGAAAAGAAAATTAAATACACCAAATGAATAAAAAAAATATAAAGGACGTGGATTTACTTGTATGTTCTGGTTTCATCTTTTGCATGTTTACCCGGAAATGGAATCACTAGTTTTCAAAGGACGAAGGGTTACCTATGTTAGAATAAGAAATTATGCACATTTTCTTCATTTTGTATTTGCCTCGATCGACTTGTCAGCATTCATTAACTGATTGACGGACCGGGTTTTTTTTTTTTTTTTTTTCTGAGCACGATCACGTTCACGCCTATAAATTCCAAAGTTTGTCACATGTCAATCTGTCATGCTAGTACCCAGTAGCTAAACTAGCTCTCCAAATATCTTTTATTAATATTATTTATTTATTTTTTTAAAAAATAAAAATAACTACTAGTACTTATTTTTAGTTTTTTATTATAGATTTTTTAAAATAAAATCATTTATCAAACAAACCATTCATTTTTTTTTTTTTGTGATTTGCATGTTTTTATTATAGAAATTATGATACATGCTTATCATTTTTAAAAAATAATTAATGTTTTAAAATTTAAATAAACATTCAACAAAGAAATAAAATAATAAAAAATTTATTATTCTATTATTGTTGAAATTGGATGAGCATATTAAATGATTTATTTGTAAACATAAAAAAACTAAACAACTTGTTTATTAAATGAATTATAAATTTTTGTTTAAAATCATTTGTTTAATTTAATAAATAAATGAAAATCGATTTTTTTATGAGTTATTTGTTAAACATTTTATTCATTTAAAACTTTAATTGGTAACTGACGAATCATTCCTGTAGGAAGGTAAGGATTACCCTTTGTCGAGGGAGCTAGAGATTTTTTTTCTTCGTGGGTAACCCAATGCATGCGTTGATTTGAGTTGGTAAAATGTAAACTAACATTATTAGCACATCGTAGTAAATTCCAGTGCCTTTCGCATTGAGGTCTCGAAGGTATAGATTAGAGGTATAAATGATACATTAGTATTTATAAATTATTCGGATTCGATTCGAAAAAATTTCGAATTCGGTTCGATTATTATCGAGTCGAACTCGAGTTCGAGTAGTTCGACTTATCGATCGAGTCAAATTCGAGTATTTTTATATCTGATTCGAGTAACTCACGAATCTAATCGAATTTTTATATTTAAATATATTTTTATTATTTTAATTAATAAAATATTTCGAGTTCGAGTTTGAGTTCGAATTCGAGCATGAATAATCGAACTCTTGTCGAATATACAAATCGAGCTTATTTTTACATATTAATCGAGCTTAATCGAGTGAATTCGAGTAGCTCAAATTTAATCACAAATCGAGTTCGAATTTAAAAAATAAAATTCGATCGAATTCGAAACGAGTATTGAATCCCGAATTATGAATCGAATTCGAACTCAAATTTCTCACTATTCGATTCGATTTGACTCGTTTACACTGTCAATATAAACATAACTAACGTATTAATATTTGTCAGCATGGCTCGATTCATACCATGTACCACCTTCCTTGTTTATTCCAAATTCCATAACCACATCAAAGCTAGAGTCATTGCTCCCGTAAATTCTTATTCAAATAAACTCAAAAAATAAAAATATATCAATATGATTCATGAGTCTGATATTATTCAGATTAAATTTTAAATAAAAATTTTTAAGTTCAGATTTAATTTAATTTAAAAACATTAAATTATTTATGAAATATTTTAAATTTAATTTTAATTTAAAATATATATTTATAAAATATTAACATATGTCTTCAAAATTTTGAATCTTTTAAGTCCGTTGATTAAAAATCTAATGCAACTTTACTTTTTTACTTTTACGTGACCACTGCTACAGTAATTTTGAGGTAAAAAATGGTGGGGAATATATTGTTTTATTTTAGCAAATTAATAAATTTGGCTTTAATTAATATTTTTAAAAAATTTCCGGACAAAGATTCCTCCAATTGTTGGTTTAGACCATACACAACTGCTAATAGACAATACATGTGGGTTCCACTGACTTACTTCTCCTGCTCCTGCCACTGACACTTTGTGCTTACACGTGACTTTCCCTTCAATTTCTCGCCTTCTTGCTTCTTGTTCCACTTAAGTTATCATATAATTTTTCAAACTTACACTTAAACATGATATAATTTAAAACATAAGAATATAATATGAAAAAATTATAAAAATTACATAATTTAAAATTTTAGTATTAATTATATATAAATTTAATAAAATAAGAATATTTTTTATTTTTATATAAACATAAATTATAATATATAATTTTTATTTAAAATACTCGTGAGAATTATATATTAATATTTTTTAATTTTATTTTATAAATTACAAAAGAAAACAAGAAGAGGAAAATTTTGCCTCTCAATTTTTGTCCGTTCGGCGTATATAAGTAAATTATTTTAAGCAATTAAAATATGACCTATATGAATTTATGAGGATCATGTAACATTTTTAAAAATATGAAAATAGATAAATTTTTTTGTACATATGTAAAGTAGAAAGATAGAAAGATTAAGAAAAAAGATGGATTTTGAATCTTAAATTATTTTTAGTATAGAAATGATGATAATTATTTTTACAGCTGAACTTTACAAAATAAATTTTTATAAATTTAGCTAAAAAATATTTAAAATTTAGATATTATTTGAAATTCAAATTTTAATTTAATTAATTTATATATAATTTAAAATAACATTCAATAAATTTAAATATTTATAAATTTTATTATCACTTTTATTTCAAAACAATAAATAAAATTTTCATTTAAGACATTAAAATAATGTGTTCGAAAGTCAACTATTACATTAAATGTAAAAAAGTAAAATTATATTTCAATAAATGATTTTAAGAAAAACCACCGGGAATAAAAATGCGGTTTAATTTAATCCAATACGAAAAAATTTATCAAATTTAGATATAATAAGAATTTATAAACTTAATTTTTTTTTTTGATTTTATGGATAATGGTGCATCATCGTTTTTAATTGATGAAACGATTTATCTCATTAATTTCGTTAATAAATGAGGTCAAAGATTATTAATTTATTTAATTCTTTGAATATGTCAAAATTTATATTCCAAGAAAGGAAGCTAAATTTAAAAGAACTGTAACTCCTTTATTTAAGCTTTGTTGAAAAAAAATATTAATGTAAAAAATAAAAAATAAAAAGATTGGTAATGAAATAATATTTAAAATTTAAGCTTACTTTATGACTCAATTAATTAATTTTTTTAAAAAATAATATTAAATAAATATAAAGTTATAATTTTTTATAATAAAAAATTGTTAATCTAAAAGTAATGAATGAAAATTACAATCCGAGATTAATTCCAATGTGATCTCTTCTTTTACGTAGATTATGACTTCGTAAAAAAAATAATCCGCACGAGAATTAGAACGATATATGATACGATATACAATATTTTAAGTGCATGGTAGGGATAGGCGTAAAGAGGACAGTGGAAAAATATTAATAAAGAAAGCAACAGTTGCTAGCGTGCGCAGATGCATGTGTTAACTACGCACACCCCTACCCTTCGTTATTATCCCTTATCTCTCTCCGTACCCCTTCACATCCATCCAAACCTGCCCGTTGCTAGCACGACAAGGGCACTTCCCCATAAAAAACAGAACAGCTTTCCCACTGTCGTCAGGAAAAACGGCGTTACATGCCAACCCAACACATTTTGAGGGAACCACTGTAAACGCCGTTAAAACCCCATCCCCGGGAAGGAAGGGGAAGCCGCCTTTATTATATATTTTTTAATTATTTAATTTATAATCTGGCCTATCTGGTCCCCTTGACTCCTACCCTCCTGATTAGTCCACCGGGTGTAGCCGGTTACCGCCGGTTGTTTCAGTGGGTTAGAAATTGACCGCGGTTGAAATGATTGCTATTGCTCCTCCACAGTTCTGAGTCACCCTTGGTTAAGTCTCCCGACCCCTCGTCAGTCACGCACACAGACAGACAGAGACGAGAAAGAAAGCAAAAAAAATCAGAGAGAAACAGAGAAAAGCTTAATTTTTTTTTAAATTTCTTTTTTTCTGGGTTTGTACGAGCTCTGATTTTTCTTCTGCTGCAATTGATGTACGTGGAAGAGAAGAAGATAGAGGCTGAGGTGTGTTTTGGCAGAAGGGAAAGCGACTAGAGATAGAAAGTGGCAAGGAAAGAGATTTGTTTGATGCGTAAATCGAGAAGATTGGTGGTGAATTGAGAGAAACATAGGCTTCTTTTCGGCCGTTTGATCAGAGTCTTCAGAGAAACAGAGAGAAAGAAAGAGCTGTTCTTTGAGGTGCAGAAGAGAGATAGGTTTTGATGAGAGTGGTGATATGGTAGATTGAGTGGAATTCAGGTTAGAGTTTTTAGTTTCAAAGTGAAGAATTCGGGAGTTTATCAGATGTGAGATCTGAGCTAAAAGGATTTAGAAGAAATGACAACTACTTCGGAGGTATCGATTAAAGGAAACTGTGTTAACGGAAGAGGGGGAGAGAGTTTTTCTTCTGGTTATAGTGAGCCAAATGATGCTAGGAACACCATGGAAGGGCAAAATTGTCCTTCCACCACTCGTACAGCTCCCGTCAGAGGTACAATTTACTTCCTCCTTCTATTCACTTCCGTTTCTGGTTTTTTTTTCCATTTTTGTAGATCTTGGATTCTCAATGTTTGGTGGGTTTTTTTCTTTTTTTTGTTTGCCGTTTTATGTTTAATTTGGTTTCGTTTTCTGTGTTGAAACTAGACCCTGAAACAGCGCTGTATACGGAGCTATGGCATGCATGTGCTGGACCTTTGGTGACCGTCCCTCGCGAAGGAGAGCGTGTGTTTTACTTTCCTCAAGGTCACATAGAACAGGTTTCTCTTCTACCTTCTTTTCTCTTCCATTTTTTCTTCTTCTGTTTTATTTTCTTGTTGAGGGAACCGCTGCTACTTAATCTGTCGTGTTAATTTTAAATTTTCCTTATGGAAGAATGAATGTGATTTGAAGTGGGTTTTGGTTTCCCTTCCTTTCTTCTGTTTCTATTTCGGGGTTTGTTTGTAAGTTGCTTATTAACTACGAGTTTTTGGTGAATCAGGTTGAGGCTTCTACTAATCAGGTAGCTGACCAGCAGATGCCAGTTTATAATCTTCCATCAAAGATCCTTTGTCGTGTAATTAACGTTCAATTAAAGGTATCTTGCACCTCTTTTACTACGATTCATTTGTTTTTTTTTTTGGGTTTTTTGTTCTGGGATTTTGTTTTGCTAATGAGAGGAATGACCTTTTGCTGTTGATTCTATAGGCTGAACCGGATACGGATGAGGTTTTTGCGCAAGTGACTTTACTTCCTGAACCTATCGTAAGCTTTGATCTTTTATTTTTTTTGGTTACTTTAGGAGTTGATGAAAAGGTTGAATCTCTAATGGTTTGTTTTTTTGCCCTGTCGGTTCTTTGCAGCAAGATGAGAACAACGTGGGCAAGGAGGCTCCCATTCCTCAACCATCACGGTTCCAAGTGCATTCTTTCTGTAAGACCCTTACTGCCTCAGATACAAGCACCCATGGTGGGTTTTCAGTGCTTAGGCGGCATGCGGATGAATGTCTTCCACCATTGGTTTGTGTCTATCAGCTGGGAATGTGCAGTTCCTTTTTCTCTTTCCTTTGTGATAATTAGGTTTAGGTTGTGACTTATTTGGGCTTGTTTAACAGGACATGTCGAGGCAACCTCCAACCCAGGAGTTGGTTGCTAAGGATTTGCATGGAAATGAATGGCGATTCCGGCATATCTTCAGGGGTAATGGTTTTAAACCTAATTGGTTTTTTTGTGATTATACATTATGCACAATGAAATTCAAGGAGTTTGGTCATGAAATGTTCATACTAGTGCTGGTCAATGTATTTTTTTTAATTGATTCTATTCTGATTAAGCGGTTACAAGTTAAAGCTATTTAGTTTACAATTTGATTTAAATGTTGATGGAAATTCCAGGTCAACCACGAAGGCATTTGCTTCAAAGTGGTTGGAGTGTTTTTGTTAGCTCCAAGAGGCTTGTTGCAGGGGATGCATTTATATTTTTAAGGTTTGTCTGCTTCCTCGTGCTATGAAAATTGTTATTGTAGCATTCAATTCTTTATTTGAGCTTGAGAATTAATACGTGGAAATGACATGCAATTTTTTAGAGGTGAGAATGGAGAACTACGTGTTGGTGTACGGCGTGCATTGAGGCAGCAGGGAAATGTTCCTTCATCAGTAATATCGAGTCATAGCATGCATCTTGGTGTGCTTGCTACAGCATGGCATGCCTACACATCAAGAACTATTTTCACTGTGTACTACAAACCTAGGTTAGTAGATCAAGCTAACTTATTGACATGCTGTGTCATTTTTTCTGCCATGATATGTTAAAGCTCTTAAAATATCACTGGGTCATGAATTTTCAACTGTGACATTGCTGTTTGGTAGAGGAATTAATTGCAGTTTCTTGTGTTTACACTTGTCAATTTCTGTTATAGGACAAGCCCAGCTGAGTTTATCGTTCCATTTGATCAGTACATGGAGTCGGTAAAGAACAATTACTCGATAGGTATGAGGTTCAAAATGAGATTTGAAGGTGAAGAAGCACCTGAGCAGAGGTATTGCTTGTTTCTTCCTTTCTGTCTGATGACATTGTACCATTGTACGGCTGCATCAAAACAATCATTTATGAAGTTTCTAGCATGTTACTGCATAATGGTAACAATTTCCAACTTGATATGGGAGCAAGCTGAGATTATGGTTTTCATTTTTTTTATTTTTTATTTCAGGTTTACTGGAACAATTGTTGGAATCGAAGATGCTGATCCCAAAAGGTGGCAGGATTCCAAATGGAGATGCCTCAAGGTAAATTTTATATAATTTGATGAAATGTCTGACAATTTTTTTAGAACACTGAAAGAAATGGCAGAATGTCTCCAGATATGGGAATTTTGATGTTCTAATGCCCCTTGGTAGGTGCGATGGGATGAGACTTCTACTGTACCTCGTCCAGAGAGAGTTTCTCCTTGGAAAATTGAGCCTGCTTTGTCTCTTCCTGCCCTGAATCCCCTTCCAATGCCTAGGCCAAAAAGGCCTCGATCCAATGCGGTACCTTCATCCCCTGATTCCTCTGTGCTTACCAGGGAAGGTAGGTCTTGTCTCAAGTAATGGGTTGTTAAACATATTTTCATGTAACAGCTCATCTGGAACGATATATTGAATTAAGTCCATTTTCTAGGTTCATCTAAAGTTAATGTAGACCCTTCACCAGCTAGTGGGTTTTCAAGGGTCTTGCAAGGTCAAGAATTCTCGACCTTGAGAGGCAACTTTGGCGAGAGTAACGAGTCTGACACTGCTGAAAAGTCGGCAATGTGGCCACCTTCGGTAGATGATGAGAAGACTGATGTGGTTTCTGTTTCAAGAAGATTTGGGTCAGAGAATTGGATGCCCTCTGGGTGGCACGAGCCAACATACACAGATCTGCTCTCAGGTTTTGGGTCAAATGCTGATTCCTCACATGGGTATTCCCCATCCTTGGTTGATCAAACTTTGTTAGCTGGTAATCTAATGAGAAAACAATCACTAGATCAAGAAGGGAAGCTAGGGTCTCGGTTCCTCATTCCCTCTGGTCTCTCACTCAAGTTGGCTGACACTAATTCAAAGCTTCCTGTCCAAGGTTCTGATGTGTCTCATGCACGAGGAAATGGTAGATTTAGTGGTTTTGGTGACTATCCTATACTTCAAGGTCATAGGATCGAGCCCTCATATGGAAACTGGTTGATGACTGCCCCAACCTCATCTCATTATGAGAATCCAGTCCATTCAAGAGATTTATTACCCAAAACATCATTGGTACAAGAGCATGAGAATGGAAAATCTAGAGAAGGAAACTACAAGCTCTTTGGTATTCCTCTCTTTAGTAATTCTGTTGCATCAGAGCCCCCAGTCTCTCATATTAATGCATTGGCTAAGCCAGTGGGTCATATGCAAGCTGCATCACATAACGTTTGTGCATTTGAATCTGATCCAAAGTCTGAAAAGTCAAAGGTCTCACAATTGGCTGATGATCTGTCTTCTTTTAATGAGAAGGAGAAAGTGATTCAGCTGGGTCAAAGCAGAACTCCTAGTGCTTCAACTAGGAGTTGTACGAAGGTTCTTTCTCTCATGATAATGTACACTTGCTCTTATGAAATCTGTAAGGAACTTGCTCAATTTATTTTTATTTTCAGGTTCATAAGCAGGGGATTGTTCTTGGTAGGTCTGTGGACCTTACTAAGTTCAACAACTATGATGAACTGATTGGTGAATTGGATCAATTGTTTGAATTTGGAGGCGAATTAATGGCCCCAAAAAAGAATTGGCTTGTTGTTTATACTGATGATGAGGGTGATATGATGCTTGTGGGAGATGATCCTTGGGAGTAAGGGTTCTTGCCTTCATTCTAATACATTTCACTCATTTCACATCATTATTCAATTCTTGCACGCATCATTATTCAATTTGATGGCTTACATCATTATTCAATTCTTGCTTGTGAATTAGGGAGTTTTGTGCCATGGTTCGCAAGATTGGTATCTACACTAAGGAGGAGGTCCAGAAGATGAAGCCAGGATCGAGTTCAAAGGGTGAGGACAATCCAGTTTCTGTAGAAGGCCTAGATGCAAAAGAAGTGAAATGTCCATCAACATGTAGTGCAGAAAATTCTTAGGCGTGGTTGTAATGGTTCTAGGTAATATTCTAGGTGTGTATACTTTCCTGATGGTTGCATCTAATTATTGGATTTTGTTTTGAAATGATCAATTTGAATTCCCATGTTGTTATCTTAAATGCTGCATTCCTTTTGTGTTTTTTTGCTTTTTTGCACCTTGTTCCAGCATTCTAAAGGTATTACATGGTAACATGTTCCTTCGTCCTTGTTTCAGCTCTTTGGTGGAGGCATCAGGAATGATATATTGACATTCCAGCTGGCTAGCCTGGATTAGTTTGAGTTGAAAGTGAGTCTATTGGAAGCAAGTTTGTCTCAGAAATCAGAATCAGATATTAGATGGAACGAATGGTATGAATCCAGTTTTGGACATGCTGTGGAGGTAGTAGTGTATGATGTCCTTTATATACAGAAATATGTATACCCGAATTTGAATTTCGAGCGCGGCTACACCAGCCTTGCTTTTGCAACCACCCTCCTTGTACAGAGATGTTTTACCCCCTTTCAATCTGTGAATGCAAGTGAATACACCATCTAATGTCTTTTCAAGTAAGCTTATCATTTTGTTGGTTTTTATGTTTCTTCCAATCTATGAGAAGTGTTAAATCATGAAATGGGGTGCATTTCTGCAAGGATATTTATTGTCTTTACTAACAGCTCGTAGTAGAAACTCTTCTGCTTAGCTGAGTGGCATTCTTTATAGTGGTGTTTTCATATTTGTGATTGGTGAATCTGCTGGAATCTGTTATTCTGAAGCTATAGATCCTGCAATTAGGGAGGATAGAGATTGGTCTATCTGGTCTGAGAAAACTGATCTTTTTCATAGAAGGAAATGGTGGATATGGCAATGTGGCAGAATTGGTAACGTGATTGCCAACGCAACTGTATTTGCTTTAGCCAGATCCGTTGTATCGGGTAGCTTGGTAAATGCCCGAATGATGAAGCAATCGATTTTTTGACTATAATATTTCCAGTAAGTGGAATTCGAGTCCAATGGTGGCTGTCCGAGTGGTGGGGTTGGGTTTGAATAATCGCCATCGTTAACAATAAACTATTTCTTTGCATTTTCTTCTTCCTTTCTAACGGAAAGACGTCCAAATTTGAGAAAAATGTTCTTATAGTCTGACTAGTACCTCTTCCACCAGACCAAGTGGGAAAAATGCCGAGCCCCAGGTCGAAGCAAGTTACATCAGGGCCCCATCCGGTTGGAGATAGTTGCCTTACTTCAACTGGGATATGGTCATTGTTTTGAGAGCTTGTCTGCGTCAAAGGAATCGCCAAAAGGATTACATGTTTACTCATAGTTCAAGACTTGACCAAATGCAAAATTTGAGACGAAAGTAGCGAAGTTCATGCAACAGGGAAAGTTTGGCATTTTTAGGAAGTCCCATAATAATTCCCTCCGCTTAAACAAGCTACGATTCTTCCAGCCGACTAAATCTTGACTTTCAGAACTGAAAATAAAGTGGTACTAAATCCAAACGACAACATATGCTTTATAACTTTCCCAGAATCCAAACAACAACGTAAGTAGAGGCATTTATGGTTTGGGTTGGATTCATATTTAATATTAATAGTTTATATATATTTTTTATATATGATTTAATCCAAAATTTTGGCTTTAAAATTTTTTTAAAATTTGGTCTAAATTAAAAAATAACTCTTAAATTCATTTGTTAAATTTTATTTATATAATAAAAATTTTAAAAAAATAATCAAGTTTAATTGGATTATATTTAATTCACATATATATATATAAATTAAAAATATAAAAATATATTTTATTAAACTTAGTTTATATTTTATATATATATCTAAAAAATTTTAAAAAAATAAATTCAATAAAATATATAATTTTTATTTTTAATTTTTATATATATTTAAATTAATTTATATATAATTCACATACATAAATATATATGAATAAAAAATTTATATATATTCAAAGTGAATTAGGTTTGAGCTTTAAATCTTTTATTCAAAGTCCAACTCGATAATTAAATGGATCAAAAATTGTGTTTAAATTTATTTAATTAACTTTAATTTTTTGTTTAAACCCTCTAAAAATTTTGACGACCTCTTAACTTCGGATGGGTAACTTAATCTTTGAAGAGATTTGAGAATATACATCAATAATATGTAGAAAACTAACCCTTGCATTACAAACCGGAAAGAAGAAAGTGATAAATCAAACTACAGATGCTTTTCTCAATGAAGTAAAAAGGATGTCATTGCTCATGCACCTGAAAATTAGGTGGAAGAGAATGCAAGTTACCAAAAAGAAAAGAAAGCAGATGAAAAGATTGAACTAAGCTGATAATAGAAGTGCAAAAGGAGAAGCTGTTACACACTGTCACTTCTGCTTTGAACATCTTATATGAAATTTCAGATTTTAAAAGCAAATGAGAAGTTTATGATGGTCAGAAAATGTACCTCAGCTCGAAAGATATCCATGGCAAAACCATTGAAACAGCTAATGACTGCTTGCTGGATGTCAAGCCCAAGGTTGTCCAAAGCCCTCATTGTGGAGAGCAAAAGACCTAGTGTCTGCGGCCACAAAACATGTGGATGTTTACAGCTTTTCCTTCTCTCAGCCTTACTTTATTTTAGACTTCAACAATTCTAAACATTATAGGATATAAAAATAATATAAAAAATTTATATATATGATTTTAAAAAATATATTTCGTGTTTGTGATAATACGAATTTTGACATAATACAATTCATATCGTATATATGTTAATTCATCTAAACATGTGATATAATATGAATAAAACGTTTAATTTAATTTTATTATACGAGTATACGTTTAATATGTTTAACACATTTAACATATTTTTTATATTTATTTTAATTTTTAATTTTTTAATTTTAATACTTAATTAGTTATTTAATTTTATATAAAAATTATTTTAAACATTTAATTTTGATACTTATTTAATAATTATTATATAATTTTTTATATTAATAATATAAATACAATATAAATATTAATATTAGTCTTATATATTATTATTTTATTCTTTAATCTTTAAATGAGTATTAATTTTTTATATTTTTTTAATATGTAAGTATATTTTTATATTATTAATATGTTAAATTTATTAAACTGTAAATGATGAATAATTTATAATTATTTATTATTTTAGTCGTGTTCTTATATATATTTATGTTAATCGTATTTATTCGTATATATCCATATTAGTTGTATCTATTCATATATATCTGTATTAATCGTGTCTATTCTTGTTTATTTATATCGTGTTTAAACAAATTAATTGTATACGTGTTAATCGTGTCATGTCATGTATAACACATATATTAAATATATCGTATTTGTATTTAAAATTTAAATACGTTTTATAATTCGTATCGTATTTGTGTTTTAATATTTAATATAATTGCACATGTCAAATATGATACGAAAATACAAATTGTTAGATTTATTCATCCTATATATACATCAAATTTAAATCACAATAGCTAAATCAGTTTTGTTTCTGAATCTGGATAAAATTTGCAGTGAGACTCATATCTAATGCCGCTACATGCAACCAATATAAAAGGACAGTGGAAAGAAAAATCTATGCCCTACGTTCTCCGTTATGCACCTATTAACTGAAGTTCATGGATGAGCCTGCCAAAAAATGCTGACTGCAGCAACCCATGCGGATGAACGTTTCTGTCTAATTCTTCATGACTAGTTAAATACTGATGGATCTTGCTAAGATTCAGAAAGACTTAAACTAGATATAGTTGCAGAAACAATATTAAGTATGCTGGAAACAAACATGAATTAACAATATGTGACAAGTGAAAGGTGACAGTAATTTGAATTCGGTACTTAATTCGATTAGTTCATATTACAGAATATTTAATAAATATGAAGTTTAAATCTGAATATTTAATAAATATGACTGGGGCAAAGTTCATCCTTGATACGACTGGGCAAGGTAGCTGGATTGGGTGTCAAAGGATGGAAGCTGGTTGTAGGTGTCAGGGAAGAGCTAGGAGGGTTTGACTCCAATTCATTGTGGAGCTCATTGATCCATTGATCCTTGGTAGAAGTTCCTTCAGGTACTGAAGTGCATCCCCAAGTTTATATTAGTAGAAGGATCATGCAGATAGGGAAGTAGTTTAACCCGCGAGTTTTAATTCGATTTAACCCGATTTTTTAAGATATATATATTTTAAATCGAATATTGGATCGAGTAATAATATGTAAAAAATTAAGGTCGGGTCGTGTGACACCCTAACCCAAATGATAATTGGGTTAAATTATTATTAAAGCTCATTAAATTAATTAAAAAGTTAATTATTTAAAAAAAGTAGCTAAGTGTTTTATTAGAGAAAAATTTAGTATTGTGAAATAGAAAAGAAAATATGAGTTTTTTTTCCCCATCTAAGAAGTATTTTAGCAGAGAAAAACTTAGTATCGTGAAATTAAAAAAAAATACAAGTTCTTTTTCTTCATCTTTCTTAGGATTAAAAAGTATGAAGATTAATGAAAGATTTTATAATTTTTCTTGATTTTTTTCTTAGAACTCTAACTCCAAATAATAACAATCAATATGGTATATCTCTTAAATAAAAAGATGACATATACTCATATTTAGGAAATTAACTCAATTGTAGTATTCGATTTTGAATTCTGTACTTGATTTTTCATGCTCTCTAACCTTAAAAAAGATAAAAAAAAAACTCGTATTTTCTTTTATATTTCATGATACTAAATTTTTCTATGATAAAACACTCAATTATTTTTTTTAGTAACTAACCTTTGAATTAATTTAATGAATTTTAGTAATAATTTAACCCAATTATTATTTGGACTGAGATATTACAGGTTGAGGTTGGATTTTAAACAAATCCAACTCGTCTCGATATATTAAAATTTGTTTAATATATTATTTAATTATATATATTTAAATTTATATTTATATTAAAAACGTAATAATTTATTAAATTTGGATTAAATTAGATCAAGTACGATTTTATACAATACTAAATTGATCGAATTCGAATATAAAAAAATAAAAAAAATCATTAAATAGGATTAAGTTCGATATGAATAAAAATTTATCCGAATTCAATCCATTGTTTTCTCTAAATGTAGATCATATTATTTCTAAAAAGTAAAACTGAGATAGATCATTTTGAAAGCCATGATTTCATAAGATGCTTGGAAAAAAAGAAAAAGAAAAAATCTTCCCGAGAAAATTTCTCGACAAAGAGAAAGGAAATGAGAAGAATGGTAGCATAGTTAACAACAAAACCAAAAATCAAAAGTGTTTGATATTTTTGCTAGCTCAAAAAACATCTTATTCTTGTTGGTACAAGTTTACACAACATTCTCTTTGAAGTTAACCTCAAATTGACCAATTTCTTTTAAATGTATTTTGGCTTCTTTTTATCTTATAAATCCATCCATTTAACCAATCACAATTTATATGGTCTCGTATACATCTATGCTACAATGATCTATTAAATTTTTTTTTTCTTTTCCTATCCTACTTCTTATTTGATCAAAGTGTAAATTATTTTAATAAATTCTTTCAAATTAATAATTTTTAAGTATCAATTTTAACTCTAATGACATATTAATTGATTTAAAAGATAATTGATATATTTTTTTTAATTTTAAAATTTGTACGAAACTTTTAAATTTCACGTATTAAATAAAAAT